AGGGATGCACAGCCACAAGGATAAGTGGAAGGTGGTGGTCCCCGTGTGGGGTGATCAGGGCATGAAGCCACCTCAGCAATCACTTTTCCTGCAGCTCTGCCCTCCAGGGACATGAATAGGCAGAATTCCCTCCCCAGAGATGGAGGATGGCTGCTGCCTTCATTACAAGGTAAGTACATTACAAGGTAAGTAATGAGGCCATGGAGTGGAAGGGATTTGGCAAAGATGAGATGTTGGCAGTCAGAAACAGGACCCAGGAGTGAGGGGGTCTCTGCTCTGCTGTTCTGCTGGGTTGGGGGGGTTAAGGGGTGTCCTGGTGGCAGGCAGCTCCCTGACAGCCTCCAGAGCCCACTGTCCTCACAGACACTGCTTAGTGTGTGCCATGCCAGCACAGCCAGCCCCAGGATATTGGACTTACATGGACAGAGCAGGGACCAGACACCAGTATCAGAGAGGGTCAAGGAAAAGGAAGGACACAGACCCCTCACATTCATAGGCAGTGTCCCCAAACAGAGGAGGACAGTTGCAAGCAGCTCCCTGGAGGGAGCAGCAGAGCCTGGAGAAGGAGAGTTGGAGGCCTCCCGAGAGAGCAGGGCTGGGCAGGCAGGAGCCCTGGCCAGGACCCAGCTCCGCCGCCAGCTGGACAGCGCCTGCTCAGCAACAAGCAGTGAGCAGGCAGAGGGACCACAGCCACAGGAAAGGGGTTTGACAGAGTTTTCAGGTACCACTGTCCAAGCCTGTCCACTCAGCTCGGTATCCAGGTTTGTCAGCCTCTCCCTGACAGGCCTGTTTATGTTACCCCAAAGTTTCCTAAAAAGCTTCTTTTTCTAGGCGGGGGGGGGGGGGGGGGGGGCAAAACCATTCTATTTTTGGTCTCAGTCCAGAGGGATTTTTTTTTCAAGTTTGATTGAATTAATCTGTCCAGCTGTTTTCAACTTGGGAAATTGAAGGGAAAATTGCATTCTTCCCATTTGAAAAGAAAATTAAAAAGATAAAATGAAGCCATTAACATTACAGAGGTCTGGGGTTCTCTTTTTTTTTTTTAACCCAAATATTATAAACTTCCTCTTTTTCTCTTGGGAAGATCCTGCAAGTTTTGCAATGTAAACTGCCCAACAGCAGGGATCTGGGCTACACACGCACATGTATAACTACACCCTCCGGACTCCCCAGCTACACATTGCACCCACACAGCCACCCTTGTGCACCCCTGGCTTACACCAGCCCCCCCAGAACTGGGTCCTACCTGAGCACTGCCCCCAGGAGCACGGGGATGGGAATCAGAGGGCTCATCCATGCTCACATGCACACTTCCATGCCTTTCCTCCCAAGTACAGTCTCATGCACAACCATACATGTACACCCCCCACACCCACAAGTCCACATGTACAGATGCACACCCACATTCACAGAATCACAGAATGATTTAAGTTGGAAAAGACCTCTAAGATCATCGAGTCCAACCGTAAACATGGCGCTGCCGTGTTCATCACTAAACCAAGTGCCACATCTACACAGCTTTTGGATGGTGACTCCACCACTTCACTGGGTAGCCTGTCCCAATGCTTGATAACCATTTCTGTTAAGAATTTATTCCTAATATCTGATCTAAACCTCTCCTACAACTACTTGAGACCATTTCCTCTTGTCTTAACCCTTGTAAATGGGGAAAAGAGGCCAACTCCCATATGGCTCCAACCTCTCTTGTCTTAACCCCTGTAAATGGGGAAAAGAGGTCAACTCCCATATGGCTCCAACCTCCTTTCAGGTGGTTGTAGACAGAGACAAGGTCCTCCCGTCAGCCTTCTCTTCTCCAGGCTAAACACCCCAAGCTCTCTCAGCCGCTCCTCATAGGACTCGTGCTCCAGACCTTTCACCAGCTCCACTGGTCTTCTTTGAACACTCTCCAGCATCTCCATGTCTTTCCTGCAGTGAGGGGCAGCCTCATACACATCCCGCATGCACACCCCTGTACACTCCTCCCCACGCCTCCCATACACATCCCCCATGCATGCTGAGCCCACCCCGACACCCCCCATGCCCACTCCCATGTTCCCTACGCACTCCACCATCCCACTCCATTCCCACTCCCATGTTCCCTACGCAC